CAAAAAAAAAAAAAAAAAGCAGGCTTCCCAAAGCCAAGTTCATCATTCTCTCCTCCACCCAACTGGGCAGTTCTCCTGGGTTACCTTCCCTCTGTGGACAATGGCAGGACCAACTGCCGAGGCACCCCAGTATGGACATGAGTTTTGAAACATATTGTCAAACCGCTTTATTTTTATTTTATTAGAGACAGGGTTCTTACTATGTTTCCCAGGCTGGCCTCCAACTCCTGTCTTCAAGGCATCTTCCTACCTTAGCCTCCTGAGTAGCTGGGACTCCAGGAGTGAGCCACTACACCTGGCCCAAATTGCTTTCTAAGAGTCTACAGTGGTTTATGTTATCACTAATAGAGTATCTCACCTCACTCTTGCTGGCCTTGCATACATATTGACCAGTATACAATTAGCCAAAAGCGTTAATCCTTTTTCCTTTTTTTTGAGTTGGAGTCTCACTCTGTTGACCAGACTGGAGTGCGGTGGCATGCTCACCGCCACCGCAGCCTCGACCTGCTGGGCTCCGGGGATCCTTCTGCCTCAGCCTTCCGAGTAGCTGGAACCACAGGCATGTGCCACCATGCCCAGCTAATTTTTTTTATTTATTGTGGAGACGATAAAGTTGCAACACACGCATTTTGGAGGACACAGTCAAACCATAGCACCAGGGGATTGCCATTCTTTATACTAACTCCCTCCCCAGCACTTGCCCACTTCAGAGCTTTTAGTGGAATGGTTTCCCTTGGCCAAGATCCCCCTCCTTCATCTTACTGTCTTTGAAGGACCCACCCAAATGCGATTTCTATCTCAGAATCTTACCTGACTTTCCCAGGTGGAATAAATCTCTCCCTACTCTGAGCTTTCTCTGGATAGCTTTATAGCAGCTATCAATCTTTTTTAAATTAGGGTTAGCATATGTCCAGCCCTTCGAATTAAGCTGGCTTGGATTTAAACCCCACCCTGGGCCTTCTGGCTGGTTGAATGAGTTCAACAAGTTACTCCGCAGCTCTGAGATAATCAGGATTCGATAAGAGAATGCAGGTTTAGTATTCTCTGTGGTGAGGGATGCACCATAAAGCTGATTTTCTTCCCTTGCCCTTAGTAACAATTATTCATTCATATTCCTTTGCACCTATCACAGGAACTTACTCCGATAACCACCTAGTACTAGTTCACCAAATTAATTAATCTACCTTTGAGTTTCCCAAGGGCCAATTCTACTTATGACTCCACTTAACACCGTAAATGCCCACAACAGCAAAAACTTATGCAGGCTGGAGTGCAGTGGCATGCTCACAGCCACCGCAGCCTCGACCTACTGTTCTAAATAAAATCCTTATCTACCGTGTTAATTCATGGATGTGTTTTGTTTTTAACACAAGGACAGCCAGGCACAGTGGATCACACCTGTAATCCCAGCACATTGGGAGGTTGAGGGAAGAGAGGATTGCTTGAGTCCAGGAGTTCAAGACCAGCCTGGGCAACACAGCGAGACCTCGTTTCTACAAGAAAATAGAAAAATTAACCGGGCATAGTGGTGCACACCTAAAGTCTCAGCTACTCTGGAGGTTGAGGCAGAAGGATCTCCTGACCCCAGGAAGTCACTGAGCTCACTGCAGTGAGGTGTGATTATGCCCCTGCACTCTAACCTGGACAACAGAGTGAGACCCCAATTCAAAAAAAAAAAAAAAACCTACATAGGGACTGGCTATGGATTTATATGAGTATATATAGACCTTAAACTCTTTTAGTAACCAGAAGTCATGCCTTTAGGATCATTTTGCCTTTAGAAGTAGCCCAAAATGAAAAATCAATTACTCACACACAAGTTCCTATATCTCTTTTCAACCTAAATTACAGTGACTCTGACCATGGGATGGCAGACAACCCTGGTTGGTTTGAGTCCACTGGGCAACTGACACAAATAAAGAAGGCTTTTTTCCCTCGGGTTAATGGTATCAGCCTCTCCTAGCCAGGAGAGGATGCCAGCGGGGGAGGACATTCCCCGAAGGCAAAGCCTCAGGGTGCTATTTTGAGCAGGTCTTCTAGAGGCTCATTCTGGACTTGAGGTTGCTGGAGGTTTCTGCTTCTTCTGAAAGATGATCTAATCTAAGACAGTGCCAGGTGTCTGTGGCCCCGTTTTCCCCCACCATGACTTCTTTGCCCAGAACTGGCAAGGGTATGTGAGTGGCTTGGCCGTGGAGAAGCCAGCTTTACGACTCTTTTTTTTTTTTTTTTTTTTTTGCAACTCTTAATTACCAGTTTAAATAACATGGTAAGCTGACTTTGGTAACATGGTCTGTTTCATGGGGTTTGTTCATACACATGACAAACAGAAGCTGAGGTTTATACGCCTAAAAGATACCTATTTTAGGCCCTGTGATCTGGAATTACTGGCGGGGGAGGGGGAGGCATTGTAATGTCCACCCATCGGGGACAGAAGGTCACTGACAGGCACAGCAAAGATGTTTCTGAGCCAGAGCCTATAGGTCCAGTGTGCCATGATTTTTACTAACCCATAATAAAACTGCCCATGTTCCCAAGGCAATGTATAGGAATGACCTGTGATGAGTCTGGGTGTCCCATAATAAGATGTCACCTGATGATGCATGAGGAAAAATAACAACTTGTGATTTTTTTTATATTCAGAGACTCTTGTCCCTTCCCTAAACAGAAAGACAGCTTTGCTTTTCTAATGCTCCCAAGCCTCTGGGATTCTAAGCTCTTTTTGTATCTTTGAACATTTTTGTCCGAGAACTCGGCAGCAGAAGGCTTGGTTTCAATGGGAGAACCTGGAAGCCCAAGTGCACAGACTTTCCGAAATAGAGAAACAAAGAGAGCTGGGCCTGCTTGGCTTGGCTGGCTTTCTACACCAAGAGAGGAGTTTGTGGTCTGCTTGAAAGAGCAATTGAAAACCCTCAGACCCTAGAGTATTCGTTTCCTTGGGCTGCTGTAACAAAGTACCAAAACTGGGTGCTTAAGAGCAACCGGAAATTATTATCTCACAGTTCTGAAGACTAGAAGTTGGCAGGGCCGTGCTCTCTCTGAAGGCTCTAGGGGAGCGTCCACTCTGTGCCTTTCTCTCAACTTCCAATGTTGACAGCCATCCTTTGACAGCCATGACACGTCACTCAAAGTCCTCCCTCTGTCACCACATGACCTTCTCCCTGTGTGTCTTCACACTGTCTTCCCTCTGTGCTCGTCTCTCTCCAAGTCTCTTCTTATAAAGACACAGATCATATTGGATCAGGGGACCATCCTACATTGGATGACTTCATCTTAGCTAACTGCATCTACAACAAATCTATTTCCAAGTTAGGACACCTTCTGGGCTACTAAGGGTTCAGACTTCATCTTAGTCTGCTAGGGCTGCCATG